AGCTCTAAGCAAAACCAACCACCAAACATCTCCAGGAGGACCCCTTGGGCTGCCTCCATCTACCATCCACACCTTCACCCCCTCCTGCCTATCCACACAAGAGGGACCCATTGAATCTCCCCTTCCCTGAGGACAGGGTAGCACGCTGGTCTCTGAAGTGAAAGAAGGGAGGGATGGATGGAGGGTAGAGGCAGAGGAGAGGAAAGGAGGGAAGAAGAGACAGTGAAAAAAACAGAGGAAGGAAAAAATAAGAGGAAAAAGAAGGGAAGGAGGGAGGAAAGCAAATAAAGAGGAAGGAAGGAAAGAGAGAAGAAGGAAGAGGAAAAAGAAGGGAAGAAGAAAGGATAAAGAGGAAGGGAGGGAGGAGGGAAGGAAGAAGGAAGGGAAAGAGGGAGGAAAAAGAAGATAAAGAGGAAGGAAGGAAAGAGAGGAAAAAGAAGGGAGGAAGGAAAGAGAGAGGATAAAGAAAGAAGGAAGAGAGAAGAAAAGGGAGAAAGAGGAAAAAGAAAGGATAAAGAAGAAGGGAGGAGGGAAGGAAGGACGGAAGGGAAAGAGGGAGGAAAAAGAAGATAAAGAGGAAGGAAGGAAAGAGAGGAAAAAGAAGGGAGGAAGGAAAGAGAGAGGATAAAGAAAGAAGGAAGAGAGAAGAAAAGGGAGAAAGAGGAAAAAGAAAGGATAAAGAAGAAGGGAGCAGGGAAGGAAGGACGGAAGGCCAGAGCCAGGGCTGCCTCCCGAGGCCCCGGCCCCCGCCCCCGATCTAGCCCAGGGAAGTGACAGCCAGAAGCAGCAACAACAGGAGGAAGCGGAAGTGACGTCACCCCGTCCCACTCCCTTCCCAGTCTTTAGGGCAATCTGGGAAACGTAGTTTAGGACCCCGGCCACAAGGGTGCGCATGCCCAGAGAAGGGCCAGGGACGGCAGAGAAGTGGGGCCCAGAGGGGGCGTGGCAGATTCCCCTTCCCCACACCCAAAGTGAGGAGTAACCCTGCCTAGCCCTCCCTGCCCCACCCCTCCCCGAAATTAAGGGCTTAGGAAGGAGCAAGCATTTATGGAGCACCTACTGGGTGCCAGATATGAAGCCTTTCTCATCATCATTTAAGGCCACATTTATTAAAAGCCAGCTGTTTACACATGTCTACACCTGACATGCAGGGGGCAAGTGCACAATTGGGAAAAGTGCACAAACCGAGGAAATGCCATCAGCCCGAGATCCTGGCTTTGAAGGCCCAACAACGTCAGCCAGTCAACAAGAGTTTATTTAGTACCCAAGAAAAGTCTGGAATCAGGCTGGGCACAGAGAGCAGAAAAGGGGGAGGGGATGGGGCATTGCAGACTCAGCCCCCCTCAGTCCAAGCTGGTGGGGCACAAGCATTTGTTAAGCACCGGGGACATAGCATGCAAAGTGCTAACAACAAAAATGGTTTGACAGAGGGCTGGGCCGAAAGGCTGGCACCAAGGACGGAGAAGGGAGGAGTGAGAATTGCGAAAGAGCCCCTCTCCCCTGCCCAGGCTGGCCCCCTCTGTGGCTAGTAGGCAGGCCCTGAAGGTCCCTGTGCAGAGGCACTCCGGATTGGCTCGTAGGTGCCAGGTAGCTCTATGAAGAAGTGGGAGAGAAGAAGGGAATGGAGAGGACATGCACTGGAGGGGCGGTCTGGCACTAAGGGCAGAGCGTGCACGCACGGAAAATCACAGGATGCAGCAACAAGCGAACCCAGGCCAATCTCGAGCCAAGTGTTGCCCCTCCCCGGGACGGCAAGATCAGGCATCCACGGGCATGCTATGGTGACGCTGACCGGCCGGAGCTCACAGTGAAGCCAGAGCTAGCTCTAAGACAGTCATCATCTGCTTACACTGAACCTCTGGGGACAGAAGGCAGGACCCCGAGGGTCCTTAATGGAGGGGAGACAGGGCAAAGAGACGCTGAAGACAGAAAAGATCAGTCAGGGAGGGAAAGAGTGCTATGAAGACAAGGCAGGAGAAAATACCCAAGAAGGGAGGAGTGTAGAGCATGAAATACTTCATACAAAAATGAGGGAAGGCAGTAAGTAATTTTTCAAGTCAGTCTATTTGGCAATTACATGGTCCCTGGTAATTTCTGAGGAAGCAGTTTCAGCGGTAATAACAGTACAATGGGTCACAGTGATAACCTATACTATCTCACTGAATCCTCCTAACAACTCTCTAGCATAGAAACTATTATTGTTCCCATTTCACATATGAGGAAACTGAGACTGAAAAGAGGTTAAAGAGCTTGCTCATGGTTACAAAAGAAGTGTCTGGAACAGGATTTGAACTTGAGTCTTCCAGCATTTTATCCACGACTCCACCTAGCTGCCTCAGACCATGCAGAGGGATGGCTGGGACAAAACTACAACACAGAATCATACATGCGGGGCTGGAAGAGACTTCCAATGCCACCTTCTCCAGTCCGACTCATCATGTTACAGATGAAGAAACTGACGCCCAGTTGGAATGGCTTGGCCAACATCAGACTGGTAGTCATCATCAAAGATGGGGTTCGAACCAGTGTCCTTTAACTCCAGCCACTGCCCTTTCCATCGTACCCCTCTGACTCTGTGTTAAGGACATGGTGAATGATGAGGTACTGGAAGAATTGGGTGCAGTCAGTTTTTTTCCAAGAACTTTGGCAGTGAAGGGAGGAGATGGGCTGGTAATGGTTGTGGAAAGGGTCAAGGCAGTGTGAAGTATTTTTTTTTTAAGTACCGAGAGACACTTTAGCATATGTGAAGGCAGTTGTGAAGACTCCAAAGGAAAAGAGGTGATGAGGGGTGGAGCAGGCTGGAGGAGGTGGGAGTATTAGCCCAACTGAGGAATGGTGAGTAATGCTGAGAACTGAAGGGACTGGAGAGAATGCGCTTCTGTCCAATCTCAGGGTTCTCAGTCATCACTAATTGTGTATGGGTGGGAGTGGGGGGAGTCCAAGAGGGGATGCAGGGAGCTGAGGAGCGGTCGCTGTGTGGCAAAGTAGGAAGAGGCTCCTTGATTAATCCCTAGGGTTTGCCTTCTGTTGGAATTCTCTCCTTTTCAGTCAAGTCTATGCTCTGGCCAATATCCTTCTCACATTCATGATATTCAGGAGGATGGAGCTTCATAGAGTTTCCCTTCAGTATGAGTTGTCTGATGTCGAGTGAGCTGTGTACTCTGGCGAAAGGATTTTCCACAGTCATTACATTCAAATGGCTTCTCTCCAGTGTGAATCCTGTGATGGGAAGTAAGAGACGAGCTTCGGGTAAAGGCCTTCCCACACTCACTACATTCAAATGGTTTTTCTCCAGTGTGAATCCTGTGATGGGAAATAAGGGAAGAGCTGCGGTTAAAGGCCTTCCCACACTCATTACATTCATAAGGTTTCTCTCCAGTATGGATATTCTGATGTTGAATAAGTTCAGCCCTCTGGCGGAAGGCTTTTTCACACTCATTACACGCAAAAGGTTTCTCTCCAGTATGAATACTCCGATGTCGAGTGAGCTGTTTGCACCAGCGGAAGGCCTTCCCACATTCATGGCATCCATAAGGTTTCTCTCCAGTGTGAATACTCCGGTGTCGAGTGAGCTGTACACTCAGGCGGAAAGCTTTTCCACACTCAAGGCATTCATAAGGTTTTTCCCCAGTGTGAATTCTCTGGTGATACATTAATTCTGTTTTCCGGTTAAAGGCCCTGCCACATTCATTACATTCATAAGGTTTCTCTCCAGTATGGATCCTATGATGGGAAATAAGGGAAGAGTTGCATGTGAAGGCCTTCCCACACTCACTGCATACAAAAGGTTTCTCTCCCGTGTGAGTTCTCTGATGTGCAGTCAGCTGTTTGCTCAGGCGAAAGGCCTTGCCACATTCATTACATTCATATGGCTTCTCTCCACTATGAATCCTACGATGGGAAGTGAGGGATGAGCTTCGGTTAAAGGTCTTCCCACATGTATTACATTCATAAGCTTTCTCTCCAGCAAAACTACTCTGATGAGGAGCAAGCTCTGTTCTCCGGCAGATAGTCTCCTCAAATTTGTGATATTCATAAAGCTTTTCTCTGGTGTGAATACTTCGATGTCGGGTGAGCTGTTTGCACCAGCGGAAGGCCTTCCCACATTCATGACATTCATAGGGTTTCTCTCCGGTATGAATATTCCAATGTCGGGTAAGCTGAATGCTCAGGCGGAAAGCCTTCCCACATTCAACACATTCGTAAGGTTTCTCTCCAGTATGAATTCTCTGATGTCCAGTAAGCTGTTTTCTCAAGCGGAAAGCTTTTCCACATTCACAACACTCATAAGGTTTCTCTCCAGTATGAATTGTCTGATGGGAAATAAGGGATGAGCTGCGGGTGAAGGCCTTTCCACATTCATTACATTTAAATGGTTTTTCTCCAGTGTGAATACTCCGATGTTGAGTAAGTTCTTTTCTCTGAAGGAAAGTCTTCCTACATGCATTACATTCATAAGGCTTCCTCTCTCCAGCGCAAACTGTCTGATGTCGGATAAGCTGTTTGTTTAGGCGAAATGCTTTCCCACAGTCACATCCAAATGGTTTCTCTCCAGTATGGACCCTGTGATGGGAAGTAAGGGATGAACTGGGGGTGAAGGCCTTCCCACAATCACTGCATCCACATAGTTTTGTGCTAGTGTGAATCCTGTAATAGGACATAAGGGATGAGTTGCAGGTGCAGGCCTTCCCATGGTTTTTATGTTCACATAATTTCTCTCCAAGATGGGTTCCCAGATGTTTAATAAGTTGCATATTCTGGGAAAAGGTCTCACATTCATTATATTTCTGGGGTTTGGCTCCAGTGTGAACTGCCTGAGGGAGGGTAATGGTTGAGCTATGGTTAAGGGCTTTCCCACATTCATTAAACTGAGAAATGATCTTCTTGGAACAGCTTCTGCTCCAGAGACTGGGTTCAGAATACAGACTGAAGCTCTTTCTCTGTGCATTACATACTCTCTGCTGTGGAAAAAGGATAGGCCCTAGACCAGCCCTTCTATCATATTCCCTATATTCATACCCACCCACTTTATTGGAAGTGTTTCTTTGGGTGACCTTGACTTGCTGAGAATATTTGTCCTCAATGATATGCAGCTTCTCTAAGTCAACACCACATTCCCAGGATTCTCTTAGTTTGGAGACAAAGAAATCATTCCATGAGAGTCTCTCCAGGGATCGTTCCATAGAAGTGCCCTGCTTGGGAAATGACTCCTTGGTTTCAAGGCTAGTAACCCAATCTGAAAGAAATTTTAAAAAATATGAATAGTTCCTGTAGCCACTTGCTATAAACTTTAAAGGGGGGTGGGCAGGAGGGAGGAAAGAGAATGAGAGAGAGAGAGAGAGAGAAAGAGAGAGAGAGAGAACACAAACACTGGAGATACAAATTCAAGCAAGCACTTGCTGACTACAAACACACCCACATCTCCACCATCCTCAAAAACACCTCGCTTGATGTATCTGACCCACTAGCTAGCATCCTATATCTCGCCTCCCTTTTATGACGAAACTCCTTGAGAAGGCTGTCTACAAACTCATCCTTCCACTGAAACTGCTCTCTCCCAAGTTGTGAATGGTCTCTGGGTTGCCAAATCCAATGGCCTGGTCTCAGTCCTCTCCATTCTCGACCTTTCTGCAGCCTCTGACATTCCTGATCACCCTCTCCTCCTTCACACTCTTCTCTCTGGGACGCTATTCTCTCTAGGCTCTTCTCCTAACTATTCTTCTGTCTTAAGTGCAAGATCTTCATGCTATGTAACCATGAGTAACCCCCAAGGCTCTGTCCAGGATCCCTTCTTCCCTTCTGCATCATTTTACTTGGTGATCTCATCAGCTCCCACAGATTCAATTATCATCTCTATGAAAACGATTCTCAGATCTATTTGTCCAGCCCTAAACTTTCCGACCTCCAGTCGCTTATCTGTTAGACATCTTAAACTCATCACATCCAAAACTGAACACATCATCTTCCCGCCAGACCTTACCCTCTTCCTGTAAAGGACAGCACCAGCCTCCCAGTCATCCAGGCTCCAATCCCAGGTGTCATCCTCGACTCCTCACTTTCTCTCATCTCCAATACTCAATTAGTTGATAAGTTCTATTGTTTCTACCCGGGTAGCAATTCAGATATATGTCCCTTCTCTGACATTGTTGCCACCCTAGTGCAGGCCCTCATCTCCTCATACCTGGATTATTGCAATAGCCTACTCAATAAACTCCAGGGCCTCCTTATGACCTCCAGAATCAAATATAAAGTCCTCTACTTAGCATAAAAAATCCCTTCCTAATCTGCAGCCCCTCAACCTTCCCCGCCTTCTCCAGGTGACACTGGCCTCCTGACTGCTCCACAAACAACACTCTGTCTCCTGACTTGCAGGCATCTCTCCAGCTGTCCACTCCTTCACTCTCAATACTCACCTCCTTGGTTTCCTTCAAATCCCTGCTAAAATCCCACCCTCTACAGGAAGTGTTCACCAACCCTCTTCACTCTAGTTCCTTTCCTCTGTTGATTATCTAGTTGATTTTATCTATAGTTTGTGTGTACATGGCAGTTTGCTTGTTGTTTCCCCCATTAGGCTGTGAGGTCCTGAAGGGCAGGGACTGTCTTTTTCCTTTCTTGGTATCCCCAGCATTTAGCACACAGTAGGTACTTAATATATGCTTGACTTCAATTAAGAGTTGCTGACCTCAAGGAGCTGACATTTTAATGAAGGAGGGCAATACATGGAGGCAGCTAGAAGGGAGTTGGGGGAACAAATAAAAATCATACCCCACCTGACACTATACAGCAACTGACACTTCATCAAAAGCTTTCACGTCAATCCCCACAACCATTTCATAAAGTAGGGAGACTGGTTATTCTACTTCCCAAATGAGGAAACCAAGGCTCATGGTGATACAGTGACTTGCCCAAGGACACACATCCAAGAGGCAGAAGCAGGCCTTGAACTGGCCTTCTTAACTACCCTTTCAATAGCCTTCTGGCCACAGTATCCCACTTCCCCTCTTTTATGACCATCCCGTGGGGCCGTGCTAGACTGAGTCTACACCGAGTGAGCATTTGGGCTACACTGCTCCTCAGAGGACAAGCACAGTGTAATGGGGCTGGGGAGCCCTTTGTCTTCTCCACACACACCCCATACCCCTCTTCTGTCTGCTCCCGGGATTCTAAGACATAGGCAGCTCAGTGCCACGGCAAATTGAATGCTAGATGTGGACTCAGAAAGATCGCCATTCAAATCAGACACTGAGCCCCAAGGTTAGAAAGAAAGAAAGAAGTCCCCGCCTTCACGGAGAAAACCTTCTATTTCGGGTGTAGGGAGCTATAACATGCTTATATAAGCATACACAAAGTTATCAGAGGCTGAGGGACAATCAGGGATGGCTCATGTAGGAGGAGATGGTGCTTGAGCTAAATTCTGAAAGGAAAAAACTAAGCAGCACAGTTGAGAAGGGAACACATTCTAGGCTTGGGGGACGGATCATAGAGAAGCACGGAGATGGGAAAGGCAGTGCCAGTGCAAAATGTCAATTTGACTGGGTCTTAAAGTCCATGAATATATAAAAAGGCCGTGAAACATAGGATGGGGCCAAGTTGTGAAGGGTTTAAAACGCCAAGTAGAAGTACTGATATTTGATCCTAGAGGTAACAGGGAGCCACCGGAGTTTGCTGAATAACAGAATAATAACAGCAATAATTAGATGGAGAGAGGATGGGAACCTGCACCAGGGTAGTGGCAGTGTCAGAGGAGAGAAGGCAGCATATTGGAGAAAGGTTGTGGAGGTGAAATCTGTGAGAGATGATGCAAAGGTGAAAGTGAGGAGAGATAAAGACATCCAAAAAAGGGGGAAAGGGCCTATCTGTACAAAAATAATTTTGTAGTGGTTAAGAATTAGAAATTGAAGGGATGCCCATCCAATGGGGAATGGATAAACAAGCCATGGTACATGATTGTGATGGAATATTATTGTGCTATAAGAAATGACAAGCAGAATGATTTCAGAAAAACTCGGAAAGACTTACATGAACTGATGCGTAGTGAAGTGAACAGAACCAGAACACTACACATAATAACAGCAATACTGCAACAATAATTAACTCAGCCATTCTCAACATTACAACGATCCAAGACAATCCCAAAGGACTAATGATGAAACATTTCCAGAGAAAGAACTGATACTGTTTGAAAAGAGGCTAAAGCATGCCTTTCATCCTTTTTCTTTTACTCAAGTCTTCTTGTACAAAAAGACTAACATGGAAATATTTCACACGATTGCACATGTATAACATCTATCTGATTGCTTACCATCTCAGTGAGGGGAGGGGATAGATAGAACTTGGAACTCAGAACTTAAAAAAAGTTTAAAAATCATTTTAATATGTAATTATGGAAACATACATATATATGGTTAGGGTTAGGGTTAGGGTTAGAGGAGAGAAATTGTAGAGGTGAAATCTATGAGAGAAGATGCAAAGGTGAAAGTGACCACAGACCCTGTGGAGGTGAAATCTATGAGATAATACAAAGGGGAAAGTGAAAGGCCTTGGCACTGTATTGAATCTGGGGGTGAAAGATAGGGGAGTCCAGGATGACTCCTAGACCATGAACTTGAGCGACTAGAAGGAAAGTGGTGCCCAAAATTTTGGTAGAGATGTGGCTGGGGTGTGCTGAGGGGGAGGGGAGCTTTAGGAGGTAATACAATGAGTTCATAGACTAAGATAGTCATAAATATTATATATCATAAAATTAACGAGTCAGTCAGAGAGGTAGGAGAACCAGCAAAAAAAAATCACATCACAAATACTTAGAAAGCAAGTACTGAGAAAAGGGGGACAGTGCACAAGGCTGCAGCGAGGTCAAGAAGGAGGACTGAGAAAAGGACCCCCCAAAAAACAAGGGGCAGCTAGGTGGTGCAGTAGATAGAGCTGTCACCTTGGAGTCTGGAGGACCTGAGTTCAAATCCTGCCTCTGACACTTGACACTGGCTGTGTGAACTTGGGCAAGTCACTTAACCCCAATTGCTTCACAAAAAAAAGGAAAGAGAAAAGGAGACTAGATTGGAGAATCAGGAGATCCCAGGTAACTTTGAAGAGAGCAGACTGGCAGAAAAAGCAGTGATTACGTACTTCTACGTGCCAGGTGCTGGGCTAACAGGGGAGGCTAGGCAGCCTCAGACATTTTAACAGGGGGAGACAACATACATGGGCAGTGGTGGCCAGGGAAGGGGCTCGGGATTGAAGAATGACAGGGATGAGGAGCAGAGGAAGGGGCTGACATGCCCTGTCTAGTCACAGTGGAAGCTGGGCGGGGGAGGGGAAGGTGGTGGAAGGAGAACCAGAGGGGAGGGAATCGTTAAGGAACACAGGTGAGAAAGACAGGAAGATCGTATCTAGCCAAGTTGTAGGGTCTTATACCTTAAGGCTGAGATGTGGGGGCCGTGTTGGAAGGCAGCAGGGAAGGAATGGAATGGAATAAACATTTATTAAGCACCTACTATGTGCCTGGCAATGGGCTAAGCACTTTGCAAATATTATTTCGTCTGGTCCTCATAACAACCCAGGGAGGGAGGTGCTACTGTGATCTCCATTTCCCAACTGAAGAAACCTAGGCACACAGAGGTTAAGTGGCTTGCCCAGGGTCACACAGTTGGTAAGTGTCTGAGGCCAGATCTGGACTCAAGTCTTCCTGACTCCAGGCCTCATGCTCTAGACACTGAAGCACCCCCTCCCCCTTTCTGGGAAGGAACTAGTTGACTGGGAGAGACTGTAGACTGGGGACTGAGGATTCAATCTGCTGGAGAAGATAAAAGTGGATGGGATTGAGTAAATGTGTAAAAAGGCTGAACTTGGCAAGAAGGGGGAAGGGAGGGAGATTGGGTCTGTCAAGGGTCTGTTACAAGCCATGAAGCCATCCTCCCTGCTCTGGTCTTCCTCGCCTCCCCTGACAGTCTACAAGCACTGCCATTTGGCCCAACTCCAATTTCTGTGGAACCACCCACCCCTCCCACCTGGCTGACATCCCAAGGAGAGGTGCGGTAACCCAGCCAACTGGACGCAAGCCCTCAAGAAGAGCCTGGCTCTCTGCACGCTCAATTCCCTCCCACTAACCACGATAACCCACAATGGGAGGAGGCCTGATCTGGGATCCTTTGATTTATTTTCTCTGCTGGGGGATCGATGGAGACAAGTAGGAAGAGAGGGAGGGAGCAAGGCTCGCTTCCCCACCCTCAGGGGTGTCCAAGAGAAAAGGAGAGAGGTGCCTCAGCAATGGGGAGCAGTCAGCACTCAAGTGAAGCATGTGAGGATGAAGGCTCCCCTTCTTGGCAGAGGACCAAGTTAGGGTTAGCCTGAACCCTTCAAGGACAAGTTGGAAAGAGGTATGTAGTGAAATGCCCCAGGGATCCGTGGCTGGCCCTGCGGCCTTGGACCTCGTTATCCAGGCCCTCCCTAAAGGCAGCGGGGGCATGCTCACCTGCCCACAACACAACGCTGGAGGAAGCATCAGTCACCTGTCGTTCATTCTGTCTCGGCCTGCCTCCACCACTGTCAGAGGCAGCCCTCATCGTCCTGACATCAGTGTCCCCTTGGGAGCTGTACTCCCAGAGGCTTTTACAACATATGATGTCACTCGCTCCTTGCAACCACCCCAGGAAGTAGATGCCACGATTATCCCTATTTGACAAGGGAGGAAACTGAGGCAAAGAGAGTGAAGTGACTTGCTCTGGATCACATAGCTCGTAAGTGCCTGAAGCAAGATCTGAACTCAGGTCTTCCTGACTCAATCCACTGTGCTCCCTGCTGTTCTACTCCTGTGGGCCAAGCAGAATGAGGCTAACCCTGCTGAGCCATGAACAGAGCCCTCTCAAGGACCCCTGCCCCAGCCTTCCCCATTCCCCACTGACCCCGTGTTTTTGTCTCAGGATCCTCAGCGCTGACCCAGTTCCTTGCATGCAGCAGGTGCCAAGCACATATATTTAAGTTAAAATAAATACACTCAAAAAGAAAACGAAGCAGGGAACAAAATCAGTAAATCCTCAGTTCTGTTCCCCAACACATGTCCTCCCAGGACACCTCAGCATGTCAGCCGCTGGCCCGTGGTCTCCACAACTGACCACAACACCCCAGAGGAGGCCTGAGGAGGGCAGAGCTCAGTGGGACTCTCCCCTCGCTACTCCTGGAAGCTGGGCCCTTCTTGACAGAGCCCGAGGTCACCTGAGTCCTCCCCCAATGCTGCCCCCAAATTCCTTTTTGGGCCACTGAATCCTCCAGCTTTTTCTCAAAACAACCGCTGTCCATCTTCACCTCCCACATCTATCTATGGCTTTATCCAAGTCATGCACGGAATTGCTCAACAGCCTAGGTCCAAACTCAGATCCTGGGGGCCCTGTCCCGGAGGCCTCCTGGCACACTGATGTTGAAAACTCCCCAACTGCTCTGAGGGTTCAGCCATCCAACCAGACCTGAAGCCATCAGCCAGAGGCTCTTCCTTCATCTCCTGGCTTAATGTGCCATGACCTGCTCTGGGCAACTCCCAGGTGGCTTGCCCAGATCTAAAAAGCGGAAATCTAGTGAGAAATCCATTCCAAAAACCTTAAGTACAGTGCATTTATAGAGCACTTTCATGTTTGCAAAGTGCTGTGCAAATATGTCTTCTGGATCCTCACTACCACCTGCAGAGAGACAGACAGGAGAGAAAGTGACTTGCCTAGGGTCACCCAGACAAGATGGGAACTCATTTGGAGGAATAAAAAGAAAAGGAAAGACAAACATGCTGCCGATATTTCTGCCAAGAATTGAGCCATCTCCACCGAAGGTGCCTCGAGTCATCTCCAGAAGAGAAACGTCCAAGAACAGACACAAGTTATGAGGAATTCCAGCCTAAGGAACGACTGGACGGCCACTGGATGTCGGCTCTATGGGGATGGGGGGGGCACAGCAGGACTGACCCTCCCCTTGGAGCCAGCCCAAGCCCACCCACTTGCCAAAAGCTGCCCATGGCCACGGCATCAAGCTTTCAGAACTGCCCAAAGCTATGAGTCTGGGAAGGTGAGAGGAAAGCAGAGGAGTCCACCAGGGAAGACCACTGCAGTACAGTGGGTCCACAGAAAGCAGGCAGATGGCTGGTGGTATGAGAGGAAAAAGGAAAAATGGAACAGAGGGGACCAGCAGGAAAGGCACCGCCTGAGGACAGACAGCTGCCCTGCCCTTAGCCTGTGTGCACCCAGAGCAAGCTTAGATTTAACTGCACACCTGCACACTCACTCATTCTGCGTTCATTGCTTCATCCATAGGCAAGGGCGCCGCCGGCCTGGCTGAGCTACAGAACTGGGGAGAAGAGAGCGCCAGGACAGCTGCTTGTCCGCCACAGGGATGACTGGCCTCCCTCGTCTGCCCACTGAGCTCTCTCTCACACTCACCTGCGGAGCTGCTCCATGCAACATCTCCTTCCGGAGTCCAAGGGGCTTCCCCTCGCTCCAACTGGTCCATCACATTGGGTTGGGAAGCGGCAAGTCCTGGTGATGGGAAATGGGAGAGTCCTGGGGATGACGACCACCTCGGGTCCAGCCTGGCCCCTCTCGCTGGGACAAGGCAGCAGGCTCAGGGGCCCAGGAGAGCCCCATTGGCTCCTGTCCTATCTCCAGGGAGCTGCCCAGGGACTTTCAGGGACAGTCTGGGACCCAAGGGAACAGGAGGGAGGGGGGATCCACACTCGGGAAGGGGCCAGGAAAACCCTTCCCCCTGGGAACAAGGCAGTCCCAGCGGGGCCCCCGTGACTGTGTCCTCAGTCGAGGCCCCTGCCCTCCCTCCAAGGGGCAATGTTTGGGTCCCAGGGGAGCCTGGGGTCCTCACCCAGGCAGACCATGTTCCTGTAATTCTCCAGCATCACCTCACAGTAGAGAGCCTTCTGGGAGGGGTCTAGATGCCCCCACTCCTCATGGCTGAAGGTCACAGCCACATCCCGGAAGGTCACCGATCCCTGAAACATCAAATGCTTTTGTCTGGACTGACCCGTCGGCCCGAGGTCCAGAGGAGGGAGGGGGTCCTTCCAGATGACCAGTTCAGTCTTATTTGAGAAGAACTAAGTGTCCCTGTTTGGTCTAAAACATAAGACAATGACCAGAGATACCAGGGCAGCTTCATGGGGGTCCTGCTGCTGGGGAGCTGGGGAGCCAGGGACCCAGGGCCTCGGTTCCCTCATCTGGGCCTCCACCTCAGCTCCCTCCTGAGCCAAGAAGGCAGTGCTGCCCCCATTACTGGTGGGGAGAGAGAACCGGAGGCTCCCTGGACTCTCCAAGTCCATCCCCTGTGGTCCAGAGCTGACCAAGGAGGGAGAATGCCTATGGTGGGAGGTCAGGGGTCACTCAGGCACCAGGAAAATCCCACTCACCTGAAGGGCTCTAGGGGTCAGAGGCCAAGGGGCCATTCCAGCTGCAGGGGGTCCAGCAGGAGAAGGGGGAGGGAGGAGGAGGGAGGGATGGGGAAGAGGGGGAAGAGGAAGGGGAGGAGGGATGAGAGAAGAGGAGGGACGATGGATGAGAGGGGAGGACGGAGGAGTGGGAAAGGAGGAGGAACACGAGGGGAAATGGAGGAAGAGGAAGGGGAGGAGAGGGGAGGAGGGATGAGAGTGAGCAGGAGGGAGGAGGAGGAAGAGGAGGAAGGAGGAAGGCCAGAGAAGCTAGAGCTGGAGGAGAAAAGGGAAAACAGGTGAGCACGAGCTGGGACCGGAGGTGACGGCACGGAGAAAGGTTTGGTCCAGAAATCCCTGGGCTTCGGGGGAAGAGCTGGGACGAAGGCAGCATATATGGACATCCTACTGTATACACAGGAGATGGAAAGATCACCGAGACACGGAGGAAAGTGAGGAGGGGGCCAGAGGTCAGAGCTCACGGCTTCTCTTCGGGTGGGGGGGCCCTCTCACCTCCCGGGGGGGGGGGGGGCGCTCCAGGTACTGGAAGTGATGCCTGGCCTCCCGGAAGTGACATCTGCTCTTCCCCGAAGCCCGCCCCTCAGGCTCGCTCCGCCCAGGCCTCACCCCTCACGTTACATCACCCGCTGCCTGCTTGTTGCCATGGAAACGAGATGGGGGGAGGGGAGTGCCCATGCTGGGCCCTGGGTCAGGAAGAGAGGAGGGGAAAGGGGATGTGCATTTATTAAGCGCCTACTGTGTGCCAGGCACTGGACTAAGGGCTTTACAATTATCACCTCACAACAATCCCGGGAGGGAGGTGGTGTTATGAGCCCCATTTTATGTGAGCAAACTGAGGCAGATAGAGGGGAAGTGACTTGCCTTGGGTCACACAGTTAGCAAGAGTCTGAGGCTGGATTTGAGCTGGAGTGTTCCTGACTCCAGGCCCTGCCCACTTCCTAGCTGGGAGTCTCACCAACCTCTCAGTTTTCTCATCTGTAAAATGGAGATCATAACACCACTAGGGTTGTTGTGAGGGTCGAATGCGAGAATATTTGTAAAGCACTTAGTCCAGTGCCTGGCACACAGTAGGTGCTTAATAAATGCTTATTCCTCCTCCCCTCCCCTTAATGAGGGGTTCACAACAGCAGGACTGTCATGGGTGGCTGTCGCTGGTCCCATTTTACAGAGAACATTGAGGCACAGGGAGTGGCCCTCCAGCCCCGACTCCAGCACACATCCCCCTACATCACTGCCACTCTCCCCTCATCCTCCACTTGGCTGGTCCCTTGGTGGGTTCCAACCACCAGGCTCACCAACTGTTTTTCTTCCCCTCTGCCCTTATTCAAACAGTGAGAGGCCTTCGCTTGACCACTCACCCACCCATCTGTACTCACTCAGACCTTATTTCCTGGGCTGTGCAAGACAAGGCTGAATTGAGATTAAAGTCAGCCACCCCTGGTGCCCAAGGGCTCAGGGAAAACGCCATCTGCATTGTCTTCCGTCCTCTGCCTTCTTGGGATACCTGTGACGGTTACTCCCTGCCCTGGAGATGACAGAACTGGGCGAAGGCATAGCTAACCCTCCTCTTTCCAGCCCATCTCTCCCTCTGAAGAGCAAAGACTCCCTGACAAGAAGAGAAAGCTTTCATGAATGCACAGCTTTGCCGGCTATGGAGCCTCAACCTACCTCTTTGCAGCTTCCCCCCTTCACTCCTAGTCTGCCCTGCCCCTCTCCTCTCTGGATCACAGGCAGAATGCAGAAAGGGTAGGGCTGGGGAGGAGGAAGAGGAGGAGGAGTACAGAGGCATCTGGACTTCCTCCAGCGGGGGGGGGGTGTTCAATGCTCAGAGCTGAGGATGTGATGAGGGACTGGGCCATGTTAGGCAGGCAGCATGGCAGATGTGGAACTTGATGCCCTGGGCCCTCTCTGAGCCTCAGTTTGGCCTCTACTGTCCTTTGGAATTCTGCCTCAAGGGCCCTAGGCCAAGTCTGCTCTTTTCCAGCTCTAATCCTGCCCCATCCTGGTTGCCCTCCCCTGGACACTCTGGCTTCTCAATGTCCTTCCTAAAATGCGGTGCCCAGACCTGAAACCCAAACCCCAGGTAAAGCACAGTCTGCCCAGGGCAGAGAGCCCATCACCACCCTCTCAGCTCCTCTTAAAGGAGACAGGGTTTGGTGCTACACACTCCCGAGGAGTCTGCAGTCCACTAACCGCCCCCAGAGTGGGATGACTTCCATCATTTGTCAGTCAGTCAGTCAGTCAACCAGCATTTATTAAATCGCCTCTGAGGCTCCAGGTATGGTACTGTGTACTAAGGATACAAATACAAGCAAAGAGACAGTTTCTGCCCACATGGAGCTCACATTCTAGCGGAAGACAACCCATAAAAGGGAATGGGAGGAGACCAGTGCCGTGAAGGAGGGATGGTTGACCCAGCTCCTTCCCCAAAGCAGGACTTCCGAGGGGTTAGGGTCATGCCTTTCCTCCTGGGTGGGCCCCCTGCCGGCCCTCAGATTCGGGGATTCTGGTCCTCTTCCTCCTGAAGCCTTGTAACATTTACCCCTCCTGAATTTTGTTCTCACCTCTCAAGATCATTTTGGACCCTTCCTGCAAGTGTGATGAGGGTGTTCTCTGTACTTCTAGCCCACAGATCGGAAAAAACAAAGAAATCTCCCATGGCTGCCCATCACGTACCACGCCTGGCATTCAAAGCCCACCAGAACGTGGCCCCTCCCTCCCGTGCCTCTCCTCTCTTCTCCCCACACTGATCCTCTCTCTACCAGGGCTGGGGAACCTGCGTGGCCCTCTAGGTCCTCGGCTGTGGTGTTTGACTGAGTTCAAGTTCTACAGAACAAAGCCTTTTACAAAGGGGATTTGTTCTGTGAAGTTGGGATTCAGTCAAAGGGCCAGACTTGAGGACCCAGAAGGCCACATGTGGCCCCAAGGCTGCAGGCTCCCCAGCCCTACCCTACTCTCTCCACCTCAAGTCTTGGACAGGAGAGTGCAGGGTTCCCTGCCATCCACAGGAACACCCAGTAGTCACCACCCTTCATTGGGAGATAGGAAGGGGCTACAGATGCAATTGCTATCCATCCAGGAAATTTCAATATGACTTTATGAATGCACCACTTTTTTTTCCTTTTAACAAACAAAAAAATACCCCCCGGGGGGAAGTCACAGAGGAGGCTCCAAACTCCAGAAAAGAGCCACATAGAGCAGCGCATACAAGGCCAGCCTGGGGCTGCCCTCCCACAGGTCATAGGATCATGGACACCCACACTTCCCCTGGTAGGGAGTCCAAGGCTCAGCAGTAAGAAGAGTGGGGGGCAGCCCATGGGGGGGGGATTAAGGAGGGAGGGAAGGCTTGAGTCTCATTCTAGCTCCAGAATATTAGAGGTCACCAGGTCGATATTAGCCAGCCACCGGATCCCCCTCCACCAGCAGAGTTCAAGGTTCCAGTAAGGAGTGGCCTTGGACATTTTGAGGGCCACAAGAATCTCTTAGGAGTGTCTGGCTTGGGAATAGGTCGGGGTGGGGGGGGGGGGGCTGGGCAGGGGGTCAGGGAGCAGGGTGGGAACTGAGGTGCCTTTCCAGTAGCGTGCGGTGGGAGAAGACCTTGGCACAGAGAGGGCAGGGCACGCGCTCCGGCCGGTGTGTGCGCATGTGCACATTGAGCGAGCTCTTCTGAGTGAAGCGCTTGCAGCAGACAGAGCATTGGAAGGCCCGGACCCCCGTGTGTGTGACCATGTGCTTGAGGAGGTAATCTCGGAGTGAGAAGGAGCGCCAGCACACGGAGCATTGGTGGGGCTTCTCCCCTGAGAAGACAAAGAAACGGGCGTGAGAGGTGCCGGGGTGCCCACCGCCACCCCCACCTCCCATCTCCTCCTCAACAAGCTCAGCTCTCCAGGAACATCCCGAGGGGGGCCGTCAGCAGGAGGGCTGCGCTCCTCTGCGCTGTGCGCTCTCTCACCCCCATAGCTCCCACTAGCACCGCTTGGCCAGTCACTTCCAGGGAAGTATTTACAGCCCTGATTTCTAACTCAAGCATGTCAGTTGCTAGGTGGGCATTTCCTGGGTCATCGGCTTTTCCCGGTCATCTCCTCTCTGCTCTGAGCCCTCGCTTCGCTCCCGAAGTCACAGAAGCTCACGACTGCAAGCCACTTCAAAGACTATCTATCTCGTATAGCCTGTAAGGAACACCTGGGCTTAAGAGCGGCGGCTGGGAGCACTTCCAGGCGCCCAGCTCGGCCTCTGGCCAGAAACCCCTGCTCTTTGGGTATGCAGGAGAGCCAGCAGAAGCTGGGTCCCGAGAAGCTTCCTCCTCAACAGGTCTCAACAGGTCCCGGCTTTTTTTTGTCGTCCCTCTGGAGGTTTAAATTCCCCCTGTGTCTTACCTTCTTTGCCTTAAGACAGGTAACTATTAAAACCGGCTGCCTCACTTAGCTCCTCCCCTGCGCAGCCCCGCTCTCCCCCCACCCCGGCTCCCTCCTAGCCCAGGCTCAGGTTTCTTCTTACCGGAATGAATAAACATGTGCTTCGTGTAATTCTTGCGGGAGCTGAATGTTTTCTGGCAGTGGCTGCATTCATAGGAAGGCAGCTCTGGGGGCCTGGGCCCCGGCCCGGGGGGCGCAGGCGGACCAGGACCTTCACTGTGCTGGATCTGCATGGGGCCTAACCCCCCCAGGCCGGCAGCTGCCGAGGCCGACGCTGTAGAGACCCCTGCGCCTCCGCCTGTAGAGCCTTCTGGCTGGAGGGGGCTGAAGAAGGGCGGAGGCTGGGGGGGGCCCTGGGGAGGAGCCGGCAGGTGGAAGGGGAAGAGGCCAGTGGCCCCCGAGCCCTTCACTCCAGCGCTGGTGGGGCCGGGAAAGCCTAGGGCCCGGGGTTCAGGGGGCCGAGGTCCGAAGCCGGAACTTTGGGGCGGCCCCAAGCTGCAGTCGGGCCGAGCGGGAGCCTGGGGGGGGCCGTCTAGAGCCGGGGGAGCTGCATCCCGGGGGCCCCCCTCAGCCACCTCCTCGTTGGGCCACACGGGGATAAAGCTCTCAGGGAACACCTCTTCTGAGGATCCGCCAAAATAGTCTCTCCCTCCGGGGGGTTCTGAGGGGGCTAAGTCTGCCACTGCGGTGGCCGCTTCCTTCCGAGGCTCTTTAAGCCCCTCGCTAAAGAAGCCTCCCCGACACTGACTAAAGCAACCCCCACCGCCGCCCTCCTCTTCCTCAGCCCCATCCTCCTCATCGTCCTCGTCTTCATCCTCTTCGTCCTCCACCCCATCCCCCTGGCCCGAGCCTTCTCTAGCCCCCTCTGGAGCCCCTGGCCCGGCGGTGGCTACCCGGGTGGGCGAGGCCTCTCCCTCCTCGTCCTTGACCACCACGGGCAGCTGCTCCAGCAGCTGCAGGCGTATGGGCTGCCTCTGCTTGCGGCTGTGACAGCCGTGGGGACCCGCGTCAGCTGCCGATGCCACTGCCACCGTCCGCGGCGGCGGCTGCTGCTGCTGCTGCTGCTGCGCAGAGAGCAGGTCTCGAAGCTTGTAGCGGACCTCGGCCCCCGGCCCGGGCCCTGGCGCGCAGAGCTCAGCTGAGGCAGCAGCAGAGGCAGCAGCGGAGGGCCCCGAGGCCCCGTCCTCTGGCCCCCGCGCACCGGCTCCACGGGCCTGGGAGATGATTTGGGTGCACTCATCGATGACCGTCTTGATCTGCAGGATGGAGGCGGCGGTAAGCACCTGCAGCGCCTCGCTCTGCGCCACCACGAGTGAGCCGCTGTACAGGAACTCGACGAGCTGGCGCACCGTCTGTGCGGGCACCACGGGAGGCACCAGGATCTCCGAGTGGCCCAGCAGCAGCTTGTCCTGGAAGAAAGGGGAGCCGGCAGCCAGCACGCAGCGGTGTGCCCGCAAGGATGCCTCCCGGATGCGCACCGTCACATCACAGAAGTGGCCGCCCAGCCGCTGCCCGTTGAGGGTCTCCAGCAGTGAGCGTGAGAAGTTCTGCAGGTGGATGTAGTGTACCGCCTCCGCAGCCGCTGCAGAGGCCGAGGCCGTGGCCGTGGCCGAGGCTGCCATGGCCGTCCCCCTGTGCCATAGAGGGACAGAGAGTGAGGGGGGCCAGATGTACCCAGGCAAGGCCAGCCGTGCCTGAGGTCCCTCTTCTGGACCAGACCTTCTGAGGCTGTGCCAGAGGGGCCCTCCAGGATTCCCCTCCACCCCAAGCCTGTTCACACCCCGGGCTCCTTTTCCAAAGAGCACAGGATAGCACCTAGCACTCTGGCCCCAGGCCAGACCCAGATGCACCATGACTTTTATGGCAACTCTCTGGGGAGATTCCGCAATCACCCCACTAATACACATATCCATAGGTCCTGCAAAGCCCCCTTTGTCACCCCCATACCC